AACATGAAATTCAATACAATAGTATTACATAACAAGTACAGTCATTGGCTATTAAGGTGTTTTTCAACCTTGAAATATCGATGTATCGTTGTATCCATTGGCTCAATAATAGAGTCGTCACTCTTCGCCCGTCAGCATAATCTCCTTATGACTCCCAATTGTTATATCACGTGATCAATAGAGGATAACTCTAAACCTTTTTTAAAGAAAAGCCCGTCGGCCCACCATCATGTACAGGTCAATAAATCTCCAACTAACGGTTCAACCAATATTTACTTGTCTTTCAGTAATATAATAGTATTTCAATCAAATATCCACATTCGAATACATCTCATTAATACATTGCAATCAACAAACACAGTTTAACTCAAATGAAGAAAATCCTTAAAATATCGTACAGTAGACAAAAATCCCAAACATGATCAAAATATACAGTTTCATAAAATTACCAAATTATCAGGAACGAATAAAACATCATTTCAAGACTTTTATTGTATTGAAGCAATATTTTTCGACATCCAAACAATTTTCTATTCGATAAAAATACTTCAGAATTCAGGATACCCGGTGGAAACTTTTCAGAAAATAGTCAAATCGTGCAACATCATCATTTCTATAACATACCAAAAGTTACGCGGTAAAAGTTTCGTCAATACAAAGATATACAAGAATTTCGGTAACGGAAACACAAAACTGAGCAGAAAAATACGAAATCTTCGAAATCAGAGATAGGATTCAGATTCCTTACTGCGAGACAAACAAATCTTTCAACTGCGTCAACGGACGAAAATCGCACCGCGGCTTCCAAAACCAAGCTTTTTTCCTTCTCTCTTTCCAGCTTTCTCTCTCTTCAAAATATCTCAAATCATCTATTTAATGAACTCGATTGTCTATACGATGTTTCTCGCTCGTCCCGGGACGATCTCCTCTGTACACAGATCGTACAGACGATAATGGATCTTTGTCCCTGGACGATGAGCTCTGGCAAAAAAATCTGTTCAGTTCGTCCAGACGAACTTACGGTTCGTCCAGACGAACCTGCATTTTACTCAGTTCGTAC